CAATGTCATGAGTACTTGGAAAATAGAGATTTGAGTATTGGATAAACCCATGCTCAGAGAATTACTTCATGGATTTTATCACGAGTAATTCTGAGATGATAATATCTTATATTCTTGAAACGGAGATATATGAGTTGTTGCTTACGAGTCACTTGTGCATTGATAATACGTAAATGCATCAGTAACTTGATGTTATAAAACATATTGTTGTCCGTAATTTGATGAGTAAATAGTGCAAACATATAAGTCGAAGTTTATCCGTTCCTTTTGCCCTAACAGGAAAAGCAATATATGTGGGCCCCTTGATGATTTGATCTCGACATCTAAAGCGCTTGTCCAAGCCTGGACAGAATTGATGTGTTCAATTGGTAATCTAAATCGATCGTCATAAATCAGAAATCGGGAAACAAAACTTGGATAATGAGATTGATTATAATCCATGTCTCATGTCCATATGATATCTTATAGAATAGAGGAATATTTGATCACTTATCTTAGGACTTGTAACTGATTGGGTCAGAGTTCGACAGCGGCTTTGAGAGCTACAATTTGCAAATCAATTTTGAAGTTATACTAGCAACTATAGTTATTAGACTTATCCAAGTGGGAGACTGTTGGATTAGATGTCTAAGCCTATAACTATAATTGGTATATACTCAAATTGATAGTAGCATAGACCTTTTGGGTTGCCCTCATAACTAGCAACTTGACCGTATGACTTTTAGAGAGAGGATCAATTTATTATTTGATTGATGAATTGAGATAATTGATTTATTAATGTATTATGAAAATAATATATTAATTAGAAATCATATTATTTAATTAATAATTAATCAGAAATTAATTGGAATTAATTTTAGGATTAATTAGATTAATTAAAAGTGTACGGGCCGTTTGACAACTTATTGATAGTTGAGGAAAGAGGCTCTAGAACCTCCCTATAAGAGGTTAGACGAAAACTTCTAGGAAGGCCCTAGAATTTTCGTCCAAGGGCTCTTGGACCTGAGTTCATGGGCTGCTTGGTACTTAAGCTAAGGAATTAGGGTTTCCTCCTAAAACCCTAGCTTTGGCTCTAAGCTACCTTACCTATATAAGGAGCCTTATCCCTTCTCATTTTCATCCATCTGAAACCGTAAGGGAATAGCCAAAAATTCTCAAGCCTCATTACCTCTCTCCTCTCTCATCCTCTTGCTTGTTTGCGTGTGAACCATTAGAGGCGTGAAACTTGTAACGCTTGCTCTCGAGTTTTCAAGAAGACTAGGATTTCATTGTTATTACTATATAACAATCAAAGGGATGTTTTTCTAACCCTAGATCTAAATTTCTAAAATAATATAGGTTTCCTAGGGTTTCCCAATTGATGTTCAAATGTTGTATGTTCAATTAGAGAAAACATAGATCAGGAAAATTAGGGTTGCATGCACACATAGGTTTTTGCATGTTATACTCAAAACCCATCAATTTTCACATAGATTTACCTAACACTATAGAATTCAAGATAAAAAATGACCTAGCATGCATCCCTATTTATACTTGAGGGATCAGACCTAAAACCCCAATGGGCCAAGCCCATTGGCCTCTAGGCCTATGAAAGGTGTCAACCAATCACAATCCGTCATGAAACATCTTCTGTAACAGTCTTCCATGTCATATAGCCCATAAGTATCCGCAATAGACATGATGGACCACCTTGACCATAGTGGAGCATCATGATGCATAGGTGGTGCATCATGAAAACTAATGGCCCAACATCAATCATGGTGGCACAACATGGAGTATTTCTTGAGCATGATCATCTTCTAGGCATACGTCGATGAACATGGCATAACAAAGGAATCGAGATGGCGCATCATGTACCAAGATGGTCCATGATGGCGCAACATGTCCTCCATGGCGCAATATCTCATGAGTATGGCGCAACTTCTCCTCACAATGACACAACTTCTCCTCCTTGGCGCAACTCCACTCCTTGATGGCGCAACATCAATACCTTTGGCGCAACTCTTTTCCTCTTGGCCCAACACTTTCATGAATAACGCAAGATATAACACCATGGCGCAACATCCTCTATGCTTGGCGCAACATGTTGCTCCATGCTGATCTAAGTTGCTCCAAGTGCTCCAAGTTGCTCCAAACCACTCCAAGTTGCTCCAAGTCACTCCAAGTTGCTCCAAGCCGCTCTAAGTTGCTCCAAACCACATTTTGGAAGATCCGTTCCTTTGTCACTTGATGCGTTCCTTTGTCTGATGATCCATTTCTTTCTCAAAAGATTTGTTCTTTTGTCAAATGCTCCATGAACCCCGAGTGTTCCATTGTGATCTAAGTGCTCCAAATGCTCCATGAGCATGATCCAAAAGTAACAGTGATGCACAATGTCTGGAGGTGGTGGCCCATACCACATTATGGTTTATACGGAAGGTGAGAAATAATTTATTTTTCGAAATTGTACTATCCCATCTCACTACAAGAAAAAAGGTATTAGCGGTGACAAAAATTGCCGCTATTGATCACCAAAGTCGCCGCTAATACCTTTACCGGCGACACGTCGCCGCCATTGAGTTGCCGCTACTGCCCTGTCGCTAATGCTCAAAAAGTCACCGCTAATGATAATGTCGCCACTAATGCTACATGTCGTCGCTAATGCTCTTGTCGCCGCTAATGCTCTATGTCGCCGCTTTTGCCTTTTTTATTTTTTTTAAAGGAGCCATTTTCGGGTGTCCAAAAACCGATACATAGTAATGTTAAATGCAGAAAAAGCGATACATTAAATGCAGAAAAACAATTACATAATATCCAAGTTTTATAATACCATGCATACACCAAAATGAATAACAAAATTCATATAAATTTATGTCATACTAGAATCTCTAATAAAAGATAAAACTAATACGATGTGTCATCATCACCGCCACCCTCGTTCCCTCCTATAAGTTCCGCAGTAGACTCCAGATCGTTGGACGTTGATCGAATATTCTCCAACTACATAGTAAATAACAACATATAAACTTGTAAGTTAAACTATTAACATAAACCAAACTAAAAATTACCAAATGATAAGAAAACTATCAATTACCAATTTATCTATATATCAACAAACTATCAATTTAACAAACCAACTAACTAACCTTAACCTTCTAAGTTAAACCAATAATCAAACTAACAAACTAACAAACTAATAATTATCATTTTATCTACAAATACACATTACATAGCAACTATTATAGTAATGTACTTTAAATAACATTTTCAATAATAGAATCCTACTTGTTTTTTTGTTTGTTTTTTCCATTATGCCATAGTAGTTTACACATTGCATACAAATACACACATACGTACATTATACACATATACATACTTTTTATACACACATAAAAGAAATACACACGGATTTCACACACATATATGAAATACACACATATAACATATTACACACATACACACATATATATGAAATACACACATATATATACAAAATACACACAAAAATGCACACATATACAACAAATTACAAAAAAATGCACCTGTGGTCTCCAAAATTTTGCCCTCTTTCAACTGGTGGTGGTAGTCTTCGGTGTTGCAACAGTCGTGGTGGTGGTGGTGTAACTTAAGACAACATAAACCAACAAAAAAACAATTAGGTCTGGAATTCTGGTCAGAAGAGAAAGAGAAAGAGAAAATAGGGAAGAGGGAACATACAGTCGCCGAAAAAACGAAAGCCGTCGTCGGTATTTGCTCCGTCGCCGGCAAATTGTGGTCGACAGTGGTGTATATGTGGTCGGAGCTTCAATCATGGGTGACTGGAGCTTCAATTATGGGCTTAGAAGTTGAAATCGTCGGAGGATGAGTTCAATTGAGGTTTTGTTGTGATTTGGAATGAAAGCAGGAATGCGTCTGATGTAGATGGAGAGAAGTAGCGGCGACAATAAAATAGCGGTGACGCAAGGATTTACCAGCGACATTTTGGGGTAATTGGAGGGAATTTATTCGCTGTCTGTATTTTCGAACATTAGCGGTGACACAATCGCCGCTATTTGTGTCGCCGGTAATGGTATCTAAGACGGAATGGATCAACAGCCGTTCGATTGGGTGATATGATCAACAATGGAATTACTTCTTGGGGGACGACGTGGATCGTTGTGTGCCACCTTTACCGGCGACACCATTAGCGGCGATAAATAAAATTGTTGCCGGTAATGCACGTTTTTCTTGTAGTGGTATCTTCGAAGCTTGCTAATGATATCGAGGTGTAGGTATTCATTTAATTTAAAAATAGTTGGAAAACATACAACCTTAAATGGGTTTTTAATGTTGTAATTCGTTGTTAGCTTCGTAAAGTTCGATTGTTATTTTGGCCTTCCTTCTAGCATCTTGTTGCGCATTTATTTAATTTTTATATAAATTTGTAGCCGTTGCCGCTATAAAAAACCCTAAATGAAAGCTAACCTAAAGTTAAAGGTCTAATCAAACTTAATTAACAGTGTAAATTTCATTTGAATGTTTAAGTTGTACATTAATAACTTATTTAGTACACTCATCATCTGACCCACGACATTCATTCTTGTCGTTGCCTCCTACCCCATCCTCATATTGGGAGACGTCAGTGGCCACCGTTATAGAAGAGAAATTGAAAAAAAATAATCTTTTAGAATTCTTTTATTCAACGTTGAAGTTTTTATACCACCAAACAAATACATAGATCAAAGATATTTTTGTTAATATTAAGCCAATTTAATATAATTAAACAAAATTGCAAAATTTTAGTGCCCTCGATCCTTAGCTATAATTAATTATATATTTAGGGTGTTTACTTGAAACTCAATTATAGTGTTGTGAGATACAGTACTGGTGGAGTGGTGGTGGTTGCAACTTCTTGGACATAGTTGATTCATATAGTTTTATTTAAAAGTTTTAAATTTAAGAAATCCCATGTGAACAAAACCAAGCCAAAATTTTGCACGCGCAGTCAATACAGGAATCAAGACTATACAAACCAAATCAAAGCTCGAGCTTACACAAAACCTGTATATGAATCTATAGGGACATGAATGTACGAACAAGTCTTAGGTACCGCTAATTAACATGTTTTTTGCTGCATAATATGGCATAGATCATTGATTGAAATACGAATGATTTGAAGGATTATTAACTTGTACAAAACTGAAACTGGATTCTCTTCAAGTTCTCAAATGCATCCATCATTTTCTTCCATTCTTAAGCCAGTTTGAGAAGGCGTCAAGGGTATTCTTGTCTGCTCTATAATGTTTCTGAGTGAACTCGAGGAAAGTCGACCATGTAAAATCTGGATATCTTCTCTGCTTATCAACATCTTCAACCAATGGTTTTGGTGGGCACACGACTTTGTCCATTCTAGGAGACAGAAAGAACGCAAGAGACTTTCTTGGTGTGTGATTGTTCACAACTGCTCTATGTAAGCAACTCTTGTACAATCCATTTGATAATGCCTGCGAAAAGGAAACCCTAATTACAAAATCTACATAAAAGTGTTCATCCTTTAATTCTTTATTCTTGAAGATGTCTAGATAGTTATTTTGAACACTTACCATGAATGTATCTCCGATATTGACAACAAAGGCTTCGGAACATGGAGCAATGGAGTGCCATTTTTCGTCTACAAAAACTTCAAGCCCACCAACATTATCTTGGTGAAGAATGGTTAGAGATGTTGGATCACAATGGGGACCGGTTCCAAGTGTTTGATCTGGTTTTTGGCAAGGCGGGTAGTAGTTTAATCTCATTATCGAATCATTTTCTTCATAGAAATCCCTAAAATAGGATTGACCGATCCCAAGGCTGATTCCTAGTAGCTCCATGATACTAAGAGAAAGTGTGCTCATAGCTTCACAGTATTCTTGACAAACTCTCCTATATAACAACGTCAATATCAGTTTTTAGAGTGTAAGTGACTATTGGTTTTCTTGCATCAGTAGGGCGTCGCATATAATGAAAAAAAAAAAAAAGCAGTAGTTTGCTTATGGAAAAGAAATAAATTACGAAATTTATGCTAGTGTTGGTACCCGAGATAACTAAAATCTTCCCCCATTACTTTCAAGAAGTAATCTTGAACCAAATTTGAGGATAGTGGATCTGCAGAATATCGAACAGAAAATGTTTCTTTCCATGGAAGCTTGGAGGAGAATCTATTAGTGAAGCTACTAGCGTATCCACAGTACTCACCAACTTTTCGTTGAGCCTTTTGCTTCTCCAAAAGTGGCATTCCAAAGAAAAGATCCATGATCTTGTGAGCTTCATTTATCAACCTCTGATCAATACCATGGTTAACAACTTGAAAGAACCCATGTTCTCGACAAGCAGCATCAACTAGCTGAGCCGCATTGCACACTGCAAGGGAGTCACCGGTCAGGAAATCCTTTAGGTCAATCGGAGGAACACGAAGTTGTGGTAGTGGTTGATCAAGGTGGGGCTTTTCGTCCTGAGGCCACATGAATTGTTGGGGTATGCTAGTTTCATTTTGAAGAAGCGATGCATCAAAGATAAATGGATTATTTCTAAAGTTTGTTTCTTTTTTGGGTAAACGTGATGGTGAAGGAAGAAGGTAAGGAGGCATAGATCGATGTTCTTTTAAATGAGAAATAGATTCCCAAACAAGATTTTGCACAAATAGTTGGTATGACCTTATGAGGGTTCATTATCGATCTATATATATACACATGTTTGTATGTATATATATATATATATATATATATATATATATATATATATATATATATATATATATATATATAGAGATATAGAGAGAGAGAGAGAGAGAGAGAGAGAGAGAGAGAGAGAGAGAGAGAGAGAGAGAGAGAGAGAGAGAGAGAGAGAGAGAGAGAGAGAGAGAGAGAGAGCGAGAGAGAGAGAGAGAGAGAGATGTCAAGAAAAAGAATGAAAAGCGAATTCAAAAAATGCTTTAGAGAATGAAAGAGAAAAAGCCAAGACCGTTCATTGGGGAAATCATTCAACAAAAGTAGGAATATTTATAGACTACTCTGTTGCAATATTTTACTCTCCATCTCACATTATACACACATCATACGTGTATATTTACTAATATATGGTACTTCTAAATTTTATTACCAAAACATTGTTGCTTAAGTCTTATTTTTTTAACATTTTACTCAAGATAATTATATTTTATCAAAAATTGCATTCGTCATATATTATTATTTGCAAACCTCTCGATCGGTCCACTTTTCTGGATTGTGTAGATTCCTCACCAATTTGATTTATTTTCGTTAAAGTTTTTTGTTTTAAGCGATTAATAAACAAATCAGATTGCAAACACTGATAACTAATTTTCCTAAATTTGTACTTTAAAGATTTTATTGTTTTATAAAAAAGCATTTAATATATATATATATATATATATATATATATATATATATATATATTATATATATATATATATATATATATATATATATATATATATGTGTGTGTGTGTGTGTGTTTGCATAGATCTTACGTGATCAAACATCCTCAATATAAAACGAGTTGTAACCAAAAAAAATAATTAAAAAAAATCAAAAAAACTTATAGTGTTGAAATTCAAAAAAAAATTCTGATCAATTTATGCATAAACATAGGAACCCTAAACTAATTGAAAAACACTTACTTTCAAGGAATTATCATTTCAATAGAATTGAAGATGATAATGTCATCTTCACTTCCTATATACATGTTTTATTGAGTTCTTGATCGATAGACACCTTTCATAAATGATGATAATGTTTATGCAGAAAACTAGGAAGATAAGGGAAAAGACTCTTAAGTTTTCATAATACATCTCCCAAATGTGTGTTAATTTTTTATAATTACGTCTTATAAGTAAGTTATAGAACAATTAAAGTCTAATCTATTAATTTATAGACATATGTTTGAGTATTTTATATTTACAATGTTCGTATTCTTTTGTATTTTTGGTCACATTAATTCGGTTTATATTAAGAATGTCGTCTATAAAAAAGTTTTAAAAAGTTATTTGTCAGTATTAATCTTTATGTTGTTTTTTGTTTTGTTTAAACATTATAAAAACGATACTTTAAATGCTATTTTTTGTAAAATAAATAAATAAATTGAAGTACACATTTAAAAAAATAAATTGCCGTCGTTTGCAATTTAATTTGTTTAATCATTTAAAATAAATAGTTTTAACAAAAATGATGAGGTATCAACATAAAAAAGTAGTGGACCGATTAGAAGTTGCAAATAGTAGTATATCGAACATTATGGTAAATATAAGCTCGCTAAAAAGCATATATTACAATGTTATGGTAATTAAATTTTAGAAAATTTTATAATTGGTCAATGTGGTTTGCAAAAAATTACATTTTGAGGACTTCTATGAAAAATATCACACACGTTGGTCCTTATGGTTTCAAAAATTGCATTAAAGATCCTCCTAATGTTAACTTTTCAGTATATATATATATATATATATATATATATATATATATATATATATATATATATATATATATATATATACACATTATTTTGTTGGTATTTTTATTTTATTGTTCAACAATTTGATAATTTTTTTGACCTTTTTTTCTATTTCTTTTATAATTGTAGTTATTTTTTGATTTTCTAATGATTTTATTTATTTTGATTCAAGTAAATGAACTTCAATTTGATAAACCATATCGCAACTATTTTTTCTTTAACTTTTCTTATTTGTGAATTGAAACGGTAGATTTTATTTTTAATTTTATGTTGTTAAGGTTCATATTTTTTTTACTTGAAGGCTCCACCAAATAACCGAAATTGTTATTTTTATTTATTTAAAACAATAATTAGGTTAAAATTTTTATTGAGTTATATGTTTCAAAATTTTCCACACTAATATACTCTAATATATTTATATATTTTACAAATTTCGTTTTTTTTTAAATTTTTCATGTATTTGTTTTAATTTTTTGTATTATTTTTTTATTTTTTTATATTTTTAATATTTTCATTTTTTGTTTTTATTTTTCATTAATTTGATAACTGTTTTTTGAGCTTCTATAAAAAAAGTATAATGTATGAATATCTAACCGAGAACCGGTTTAGTAAGAAATGAAAAAATGGTCAAATAATGATAATGATAACTACAAACTTAAAATTGCAAACGATAATAACTGTGGAAAATTTTAAAACACATAATTCAATATAAACTTTAACCTAGTTATTATTTAAATAAATAAAAATAACAATTTCGGTTATTTAATGGATCATCCATGTAAAAAATATGAACCGTAACGGAATAAAATTAAAGAAAACATTACCAATTCACTTCACAAATAAGGAAATTAAAGAAAAACGGTTCAGACATGGTTTACTAAATTTAAGTTCATTTATTTTGATCTAAATAAATAAAAACATTTAATTGTTGAAAAATAAAATAAAATAAACAAAAAAATAAAGTGTATATATATATATATATATATAATATATATATATATATATATATATATATATATTAAATTTATATTTATATTTATAATTAATATATATATATATAAAAAATTAATTTCATAATTGATCCTTCAGGTATATACATAATTTTCAGACTTGGTCTAAGGGCATTTTGGTCATTTAGAAAAAAGTTGGCTAATCAAAAGTTAAAGTTAACATCTGATGGACCATTCATGTAACTTTTGAAACCATAGGGACCAGCGACGTGATGGTTTTCATTGAAGTCCTCAAAGTGCAATATTTTGCAAACCGTAGGGACCAATTATTGTTGAGACAATAATGAATAGATCGATAGATTCAGAACAGTTTAGTTGGATCAAACAATAAGAACAAAGATTGAATGTGATTGAAAGTGTATCGAATGCTTTATTATCAATATCTTAGAAGAGTTCAATTAGAACTTCTCTGTAAAGATACGTAGGGCTACAAAAACATTAACCCTAAAACGATACATGCATGCTATATTTATAGTCTAAGCCTATCACAATAATGACGGATGGACAGGCCCAATCCAATAACAGTAAAGACTAAATACATGCATAATCAAAATTGTCACAACACAATAAATATCCCAACAATCTCCCCCTTTGTGTCAATAAGGAAGGAAGATTCTTCACTGTTGAATACGCTTCTGAACCTTGAAAAATTTCGGCACTAAACCAAGCAAGGTGTTGCGAACTGAGATGTACCACTTTATCATATCTGTGAAGCACTTCTTGGCGGCAGCATCGTTCGCTTTGCTCTGTTCAGTTATTCCCAATACATAGTTCAGACAAGATGTGGAATAAAGATGCTTATCTGATAAATATAATTAACACTTTTGAACGTTTGAACCATCTCTAGAACTTTGTTGAAATGCCACACTCCAGTTATCTTTCTCAATTTTTCCTAGCCTCGTCTTGGAGACATCATTCAGATCTTCTTTTTAGTAGCACAGTGGGTTTCTTTTGTAAAAAAATAATCGTCATCTTCACATCCATTTTCGCAACTTCGTGAATGTAGGAGATCAACATCCTTTTAAGATGTGCCACGATGGGTTCGAATTTCTGTTCATCCTTTAATAAGAGATGGAACAAGGAAATCCATTCATATGGGTTAAGGTACGGCAAGTCTGCGAGTGTAAACTCAAAAACCGAACTTTTTGCACCACATACAACTTTGAATTTAACACTGATAAATCTCTCTGTTTCAATTGGCCCGGTGACTTTCACAACTGTAATTTTCTTTGAACTCCAAGTTTGATATTGAGGCTTCCCGTGCTTGAGGTAGAAATAGAAAAGAGAATGTTTGATGTCATAATATGTAGTGGTGCTTTCTCAATTTTATCAAAAACAACGAACCAGAAACGCCTTCGAGTAATTAGTAGATCAAGCTGAGAATCCAAAGTGTTCTCCAGATCAACCGAAGTAACTGGCTCCAACCAGTAAGTACTTGGATTGTCAATAGCTTCGTTCATAATTCTCTCCACGGTCCAAGGAGGGAAAAGAGTCTTTTGAGTTTCCAATGTTACCTGTGCATCACGAAGCTCTTTTTCACGAGCATCAGTTTCTCTCGCAATTTGCAGGTTTTCATCAAGCTCTTTATCACGAGACTTTCGTTTGAGCTTTGCATCTTCATCCTCTTCTTCTTCTTCATCATCATCGATCAACTTTTCTTTGCCTTTCGATCCTGAAGCTTCATTACCCTTCGGATCGTTTGGAGTCGGTTTATGTTCATGTTTACAAGAATCATCAACTGGTTTCTTGACTTCTCCCCCTTGTTTCGGAAGTGAGCTAGACTCTGAAACACCTTCTATACGATTGAGCATTGAGAATACGGGTTTTATCTTATCAGCCAGATGTTGGAGAATGGAGACCGTGAGTAAAGAATCACGAGTCTCGATGACATTTAGCAAGAATTGATTAACTTCTCCAACACAGCTTTTTATCACAGCCTTTTCAGACTTGAGCTCATCATTCTGTTGTTGTGCATGCGACAGTTACACAAAAAGAACTTTGATTTTCTCGGTTTTCACCGCAAGTTTATCCATAAGCGAATTCTTGATAGTAAGGTCCTCTTGAAGCTTATCAAGTCGGGAAGTAATAGAAGTTTGCAGCTCAGCATTAT